TGCAAGCGAGCTGCTCCTTACCTCTGGCCATTGGACAGCCCAACCTTCTGGTTGGGTGGTTGGTTGTGTGTGGGGGGGGAATTAAATATGCTTTCCTTTTGTCAAAAGCGGTTAAAGAGATTAAACGTGGAGAAGCATCCTCGTTTCGTCTGCAAAGAAGAAACGAAGCTTTCCCCACTTCTTCTTTAAAAATAAAAAAAATCAAGCGAGAAATACGGCCTTCAAAGATAAAAGTGTTGTCTGCAGAGATGACTCACGAGAGATAGCGAATTCAAGCTCCCTGCAACACCCCCCCCACCGCCCCTCCTCCCCTGCCTGCTCTTCCCCGCGGCCCCTGGAGCAGTCGGATTGAATTGTGACGGCACAGTTGCCAAAAAAACGAAGGGCAGGCGTTTCCCTTCATTTGGAAGGCCGCGAAGGAACCAGAGCATGCCCTAGGTGGTTTTTCCCGGTAGCGATACAGAGGATTCACGGTTGCCTCCTCCTACGGTATTGTTTTTTTTAAAGCTTCCCCATTATAGCCCATCACTTGGTGGTCTCCCATCCTCATATGAACCAAGTCCCAACCTCTTTAGTTTTTAAAGATCAGTCAAACTGCTCAGTGCTGCCATCTAGCAGGGCCGAAAATACTGACGCAACTCACTAACGCAGAGGTCACCAACCTTCCAGACCTCAGGGACACCTCAATTTATTATTTTAAATCCCGCGGACCACTAATAGGATATTCCTAATGACCGGCTGGATGGGCGTGGCCAGCTTGATGTCACTTACATCAAGGGGGCGCTTTGTTGGCTTCTACTCGCCCTCCCCTCCCGGTCACTCCTTGGCTGCCCGCCCAGCTCCATAGCAGTGGTTAAAATGCTACTGGTTCAGCCGAACCCGTAGTAAAAAATTAAAAAGCTCCGACGATCAGGATTGGCCCTCCCACCCACCGGTAGCTTTCCTGTTCTTTATCCTCTCGGCTGATTGGCGCTGCGGAACCTCAGCTGGTGATTGGAAAACTGTGTGTGCATGTGTTAGGTTCACGTGATCACTGAACCAGCAGGGAAACTGGTAGAATCCCACCACTGCTCCTTAGGGCCCAACAGAGAGCAGTTGTTGGAGCTAAGCAGCCACCCCGAGGAAGAGTTGGTAAAACAGCTGGCCGAGTTCAAATGGGATCTGACCAAGAAGGAGGCTCGGCAGTAGCACGTCACTGAGGACTACGAGCATAGGCTTTCCAAGCAGAGGGAAGACCTGGGGAGCGCAAGGCCAGGTATCAGCACCTGGAGGGTCAGCGGGCTGAGATGGTCAGCCAGTTCCAGGCCACGGTGCAGTCCCACTGGAACGAGGCCCTCTCAGGCTCTTCGCCACCAGTGGTCCTTCCCTCCAGCCTTCGCCCAAAGTCCTGCACCAGGAGGCTGAAGCAGACCCCAAGTCGGAATTCCTGCCCCCCCTCCAACCCACACAAAAAGACCCCAAGGGGGGAGACTCTGCAGCAACCCAACATTTCATTGCACATATCCAGCCCAGGGGGGCATAGTTTGAGGACCCCTGATTTAGGGCAATATAAAACATTCAAATATTTTTTTTTTCTCGTGGTCCACCAGTGTTCCACGAACCACCAGTTGGTGACTATTGAATTAAAGGAGGCCAGTTGCATTCACCGACTGTCTGTCATGGATGGAGCTGGTTCTCTTTGTATCAGGTCATCTCCAGTTCTGGACTTCACCTCCTGCCAATATTCGCTCATCAAATTGTTTCCATCCCAGGATTAGCGGTTTATTCTTTCCGTCAATAAAGGATATAACCAGAGGCTCTTTTCGAGTCGGCTCGACGTGCACGGAAAGAGAAGCTGGCAGATGGCTGATTCTGAATTCCTATCATAACTCTGGAGTAGGCTTACAGCTATAGCCTTTAACAATGCAGGTAAGTCCTCGACTTAGAACAGTTCATTTAGCACCCATTCAAAGCTACGCCACTGAAAAAAAATGACTTGCGGCAGTTTTTTTCCCCAGATACGGCCTTTTACGGCCCACGATCATGTGATTAAAAATCAGATGCTTGGCAACTGGTTCATATTTATAACCATTGCTGCATTCCGGGGTCAAGTGATCCAGAGATGGGCTTCAAAAAAATTAGGGCAACCAGTTCTCTGCCTGGTTGCTGGGTGGGCGTGGCCTACTTGGCCTCCTGCACCGCAGCAGGGGTGGGGGGCATTTTTTGCCCTACCCAGGCTCCAGAGGCTTGCCTTGAGCCTCCAGGAGGGTAAAAATGGCCTCCCTGGGCTCCAGAGGCTCTCTGGGGGCCAGAAACAGGCCCACTTCTGGCCTTCTGAAGCCTCCAGGTGGCCCTTTTTTCACCCTCCCTGAGCCTCTACACAGGCCCTGCACTTACCTGGGTTCCAAAACAGGCTGTGTGGAGACTCCTGGGAGAGGAAGGGCGGGGCAGTCAGTTGTTGCAACTACCGGTTCAGTAAACCAGATGTAAAATCAACACCCAGTTCACTCAAACCGGTGTGAACCGGTAGCGGCCCACTCCTGATGTGATCTCCTTTTGCGACTTCCTGTCAAGCAAAGTCAACGGTGAAGCCAGATTCACTTAACAGCTGAGTTACTAACTTAACAACTGCAACTTAATCCACTTAACAACGGAGGTAAGAAAGGTTGTAAAATGGGACAAAACTCACTTAACAACTGTTTCACTTAACAACAGAAAATTTTTGGGTCAATTGTGTGGGTCGTACGTCGAGAACTACCTACTATACATCCCAACATGGCAATCTTGAAAAGTTTTCTGGAGCTGGTGGCATTAATTCAAGGGAGTCAGGGAGGTTTTGCGAGGGTCACCCCCAGCAGTCTAGCCCAAGTGAATTTAATTCTCAATGCCTTCTATTCCAATCTCTGCCACCGTCTGTGACTGACCTTCAAAAATCAGTCACGCTGAGTCTTCATCTTGAAATGATAACCAACCTCTCTGCCCCTGTTATTGGTGGATTTTCTGCTTGTTGATAAGAACTGCCAAACTCAATCGATGAGAAGAACAAAGTGTCAACTCATAAAATATTTCTCTGGTCTTTTTGGAGTTGTCAACAGAAAGTGAGGGGGGAGCAGTGCAGCAGCTTGCAAACCGAAAGTGCATTCCATGAATGTTTTCAAAGATAGTAACTAGGTGACTGAAGTTTCTGCCCTACAAAATTCTAACTGGAGAGCATGATTAATGACTCTTGGCTATGGATGTGTCCTATTGGGGAATATGAATTATGGTACACTTAGGGGGTGGGTGAAAACCAGGGTCAAGGGTGACAAGGAATGATGTGTCTCAGAGTTGGCTACACCCAGGCAGTGCCAGACATGTTAACTCCCAATAAATCATTTTAAAGTTTTGGAAGTTTGGCTCAAGACTCATGATTTAAATGGGGGGTAACTGCCGGAGCCCTGACACAAAGACCAGGAGATGAGAATTCTTTGAGGGAAGAAAAGTACAGATCATCTGATTCCTATTTCTTTGTTCTTGTGTTGGAAAACAGGGCATGTTAATCACACGGGGGGACTGAACCAATGGTGGGATTTACCCTTTTTTTTAACTACTGGTTGTATGAGTCCACCAACCATCGATTTTAAGCTTCAAAACTGACCATGTATTCAGGGCTGATGAGTAAAACAGCTGAGGCGTGGAAGTAAAAGGAAATAAAACACAGGAAAGGATGAGACCGGGTGGGCGGGGCCAACTGCTCACCGGCGCAACCGGTTCATGAGAACCGGTGCGAACCAAAACCACTGGACTGAACTCATGCGAAGTTGCGCGTATTTCATTCTGTTTTCATAAGGGCTCCTCTGATTTTGCCTTCTTTCCAGAACTACTGTACTTCAGATCTCTAAAACAGTTTTTACAGAGAGCAGAGGATGAAGTATTTTTTTTTTTTAAAAAAAAAGTCAAAATATTTTATTAAGGATGTTCTACAAGAGAAGATGAAAAATGTGCATTTTTTCTTCTTTCGAGTTTGATTAATGGATGCTTTTTAATCTTGGAAATATTAGCATTTTTAGAGTTAATAAAGTAAGTCTGCTTTAACTTTACATGTCCATCCATCCATCCATCCATCCATTCGTCCGTCCTTCTGTTTGTTCATTCGTCCATCTATCCATCTGTCTGTCATTCTGTCTGGCTGTCCATCAGTCAGTTGATCAATCAACCAATCAATTCATTCATATGGTTACACACTTCCCAGAGCAACTCCAGCACCTAACAAGGCAATAATCTATTTTATTTTCCTAAATGCGAACTAAAACCAAAAGATTATAAGATATTCCTTTTGTATAGGACCGAAAAAAAACATCTGGGGAAACATCCTAGCAGGATAATTCATTTTGCTTGATCGTATGAAGTGCTTTTATGTTCCTCTAAGGTTGGGGGCAGGGTGAGTTGGCACCCCATAAATAAATCAATAGGAATGGATTCTTATTAGATGAACCCACTGGACTGTGAATCAAAGCGGTCTCTCAAGGCGGAAAGAAGCCTGCTTTTATCTCTCTGCTGGCCTACCTGTTTTGGAAAAGAGAATTTTGATTTCCAGAGCTGTCGGGCTATCAGTTGGCACCCCTGAAAATAAAAGGAGAGGACAAAAATGCAATCTTAATCCACCAGACTTGTAATCTAATTTTCAACTGTCTTGTTACCTTATTAAAAAATAATAATATTTATTTTAAGGCAGGAAGTTGCTCATACCATCCTGGATTAACCCAGCCTTTTCTGTGGTTTTATCTTTCTTTTAATTACCTCTGGATAAGCAGAAAGAAAATGGACTGGGGTGAAAGAAAGAAAAAGTCAGAAGCCAATATATGAAATGTTTCAGCG